CTGTAGGGGTCGGATTCCACCCCGTTAAGATCAAGGCTGGAAAATGATTAAGTATAGGAACTGGATCGGAAACGACCGGACAAACCCAGCTACCCGGCATCCGACGAGGCGACATACTCGGTGAGGCAGGTTGCGAGATTGTGCACGAATGGTAAGCTTGGTGAGACCAGAAACGTTACCAGACGGGAAAGGCAAGTTTGCAATAGAAGAATGGGTTGACACAACCAGGAAGCCCACGAGGCAGGCCCGCTGCAAGGAGAAACCCAGAACGTGACAAGGCGGGCTAAGCCCAAGACGCGTCAAGACGGGCCGAGCAGGTCGGCGCAGCCCAGCGGATTCTAAGGTTGACCTAGCCGACCTAGTTCACTATATATATCAATGTATTCCCCTTGAGAGAGGGGATCCACAATTCTTGACACCGAAACTCTTGTATTCTTAAGCTTTGACAGAAACAACAATAAGAATCCTCTTCAATCATTTATGTGTGATTTCGTACTCGGAAGACTCAATCCTCTTGAAACTCTTGACAAATATTGACTGTGCAGGTTCTACCATCCACAGTTTGGCACCGTCTAAAGGGAAACACAACAGATCATCTTACTCGAAGGAATGGCATCACAAACCACCTAGAAGATGACCATCGAACGCATGAACAACACTGATGGCGACAGACGCATCGTCCACACTGATGGCAACCGCGTCGACGAGACCGCTGGCAACCGCGTCGACGAGACCGAGCTGCAATGGATGTGCCGCCTGCACTGGAAGGGCGATGGATGCGATGCTCAAAAGACATAAGAGCGAAGACAAGGTCAACTCCGCAGTAACCGAAAGACTCGACATCCTCACTACGGCAAGCCGCGGCCGAGGCCAGGGCTTGTTTAGGCAACAAAGAGGTCGACTCGCCCCGACCGCTCTCTTCTCAACGCCAGATGGCGCACCCAGAACTCGAACTTTCTTGCCGTTCTACACCACCTTGGAGACAGACGAAGGAAACTAAGTAAGGCGAACCAACCGACCTCTGGAGCAGGGCGTGCAGCTCGAATGCAGAACACCGCCAGTCGTCAACCTCGACGAGGACTTGACAACCGAGGACAACTCGAACAAACGTGCAAACGCCAAACGCACCGAAGCGCATCGAGTCAAGACAACCCGAGGAGCCGAGGAGACCGAACACGACAACATTAGTGATGAAGATCTCCTCTGGATTGGGCAGCTCGACGACCGACGTGATGAAGCACTGCGCATCCAGAAGGCCGAGATAACTGAGATGCACACAAAGATGGAACGAGAGGCCGAG